GGGGGGGGGGAGTTGGGTATTGAAGTTTATCTTGTCGAATGGTATTTGTGACATCAAATTTACATCATATAACAGCTTTACCAATATGCAGAAAACCTTACAGAGTGCACATCCTCTTTAGCCAAGAATAGGAATTAGGATTATAGAAACTCAATTAATGTTCAAGAGGTGAGCATGTGTATGCTAAACATTATTCGAAGCATCCCACTAAACAACCTGTCTAAAACCAGTAGGTGATCGTTGATGCTTTACTAGTTTATTACCCATCTTTATTTAGTAGTACTTGTTATCCTGCTTGAACTTTCTCTTGAAAGTTGAAGAAACTTTTTATTCAGACATGGCTTTAAGATACTTCAAAATACAATATTTAAAATAATGAGTGAATGTAATCTGATTCTTTTCTTGATTATTGCAAAACTTTGAACACCAATACCATAATGAAACTGTCGTTCTCCTCAGACTCCCAGCGGAATCCTATTAATCTTCCGTTAGTGATACACATTTCTGCAATGAAGGATGGCATACCAGGCTGAGGGCTAAGTCAAAACATGTCTGTATTTTCGTTGCAAGTTCATAGCATAACGGATAGAAACTTCATATTCTTCCAATAAGATTTTAACACTCCCACCGGTATACAGAGCCCATCTCTCCCGCCCGGTTAGTCCACTCTGTAGGTTTTCTGTATATTGCTCCTGTTATATCTATATAATTGTTCTGCACCTCTAAATCCCCCTGAACGGCCACCCATTGAAACTGGAGCTTTTGAATCCAGTGTAGTAACACATTTGTGGGAAACAAATTTTGAGTTTTAGGCATGCAAAATAGTATGTATATTTCATGTATATATATATGGAGAAATTTACATGTATTTTATTTTCATTTACTGAGAGCAATTTATTTGATGCATGGTATTTATCCTTGTTATATATTCCTTATAAATTGTGTTGCTATCTTTGGGAGTTTTTTGTGTTAATTCTTTCCATAAGATTGTTTCTATATTTGTACCTTCTAAATTTCATTTGATTTTTCAATGTTGCTTTTTAATTTATTGCATGGTGATTTTTCTTTAAAACTTGCCATGGTTCTATGAGATATTTTTCTATCTTTAATTTATTACTTTCTAATTCTATGGTTATATCTCTAACCTTGTCACTATCTTATCTCAAGGGGTAAATTACACTTTGCCTTTTTTTGTTTGGTCAGTTTTTCACTCTGGCCCTTAAAGCTTATTTTTCTCATTTTGACCTTTTATGTTTCAAGTTTTTCCTAATTCATTCTTAAAATTAACTTCTGTTCAAAATTAGAAAGAAAATGTCACAAAAACTGTCACATAATATAAAAATATATTATTATATTGAGGTTTGAGTTTTGGTAAGAAGTGTGAGTTATGTGTAATAAAATATAAAAAATTTTAACAGAAATTAGTTTAAGGAGTAAATTGAAAAAATTTGAAACATGAAATTAAGGACTAAAATAAGAAAGTGGCCAAATATGTAACTATACCAAGGGACAATTACATAGATTATTGAGCAAATTGTTATGTCCCTCTTTATAACATATCTCCCAAAATCAAATAAAAATCAGCATCAAGGCCATTTTTTTCTTTAAAAAAAATAAATAAATAAACAAAAGGGGGTTCTTGAGGCAACTATATTAATGGTAGAGTGGATTGTGTGGATTTGCAAAATGCAGAATCACTTATTAGCATATTGTTGCCGGCTCGGCGCTTGTTATCTTTCCGAAAAGCCAACTCTATAAGTGATATTATATATCAACAATGTTAGGTAGCTCAAAATTTTATAATTCAAATGGCTCAAATCACTTAAAACTACGTCGTTTTGAGTGTAAATGAGTGTAAAACGACGTCATTTTGACAGATTTGAGCCATTTAAGCCACAAAATTTTGAGCTACCAAATATTTTTCATTATGTATTCATGTGCATTATGCTTAAGAATCCAATTCAAGTAATGCAATGGAGATCTACTTTGTCTGTCTTATCGCTCACATACCAATGCGTTTGCCAAGTACTTGATATAGAATTTGCATTGCCAATAAGTCGGTACGCGATAATATGTGACATGTTTTCTTATATATATATATATTGGCAAATTATAAATAAATAAATAAATAATCTCAGAATTTGAATCTTATAACAAAATAAATTTTTTATTGTCTTGTTAAATTCGAATATTTTGATTTGTTTTTAATCTAACTCATTTGCTTATTATTGTTAAGTAAAGTTGTTTGAAAAAATGTATTTTAGTCATTAAACTTGATGTAGGTACAAAAAATGTCTAAAATAAGTATTTTTATTGAATTAATGACTACAATATATTTTTTTCGATATTTTTACTTAACAAAAATAGGTGAATAGTTTATATTGAAAACATATCAAAAGATTAGAGTTTAAATTGATAAATTAAAAAAAAATAGAATTTATTTTGTTAAAAGGCTCAAATTTTGAATTTTTTTTTTTTTTGTAATTTTTCATATATATATATATATATATATATATATATCAACCAGCAACATTTTATTATCCATGGCTTATTTACTGGGCATGTAGTAGCATCTAATTATCCGAGTCCTTTGATCTAAAGCAAGAAATAAAGACCTTTTCTCGAGGAAATTGCTAATAACTAAGTGGTAAGACCAAAAAAAATTATAAATTCATGGAAAAACTTATAACTTCAATTGAACTAGGGGAAATAGTTATTAACGGAATAAACAAGAGAATGATATCATTTCCAAAAAATATCCCAAATTAAATCATTCAAAAGTATCATGCTTGAAGTAAAGTTTACGAACATACCAGTTTTTCATGTTGCTTTGTTGTTGTTGTTTTTTTTTTTTTTTTTTAAATCTTTTTTTTTTGATTGATTTTAAGATTTATTACTAGTTAATTTAGAGTATATAACTTAGCTTCAATTTCTTATTTATTTTACATCTTCTATTAGTGAAGAATGCCTTTAGTATGCAATAAAGTGTTTAAATTGTATATTCTTTTACTTCAGCGTAAATCAGTTGATCATGGCCTCGGGCTCCGGTCTTTATTTGCAAAATTAAGCACTTACAAAAAAAATCAGTAATGATACGTAGTTCAAAATTTCTAAATTCGAATTTATCTTGAATCTAAAACGACGTCGTTTTAAACGATAATTTCGTTTTACGAGGGAGAGAATTTTAATATATCTTACCGGTAAGAGAATTCAAAACGAAATCGTTGTGGGCAGTCGGGGGATTCAAGGAAGAAAGATTCGGGGAACAAAACATTTTCCCAAAAAAAATTGGGGTTGGACAATTTTTTATTTTATTTTATATATATATATACACTTTTTTAGCATCTAAAAAAATAGATGCATTTGATAATTATTTTTTTTTTTTTGGTTATGGAGAAAATTTTATATATCTTTTTAAACTTTCACATCCTGATGAAAAATATAAAAATTACCATATTATCTTTACAGTGCTGTGGAAATTTTTAAAAGTATTGCAAGTAAAATAATTTTTACACAAATCTGCAGAGATTTTCAAGAAATATTTTTTTTTTTTATAAAGAAGTTATTTAACCAAGCAAGCTGAATATTTGTTCTTCTACTTTTTTTAGTCAAAAAACAACTTGGAGATAATCAAACAGATCTTAAATGATCATGTTTCAGATGCATATATACATCAATGGTTATGAGCATCCTTGGCTTTTTAAATTAAGATTTATGAATTTTCATGAAAACAAAAAACCAAAAACAAAATGTACAACGTAGAATAACTTGATTTTGAATTTTCCTCGATAAATTTACATCTACTATTTAATTATATTAAAAATCAAATAACTTAAACTCGATTTATGATCAATTGAATTAAAACTCATTTAAAATCAACTCAAACGATAAATAAATCAAGTTTGCATACATTTTTTAAACTTGAACAACTTTTAAAACAAACTTGAACAATGTGTTCAACTCAAAACAAACTTGAACAATGTGTTCAACTCAACTTGTTTATAGTTCAAACTTCTAACTACCACAAACATCTTCTAAGCTCTGCACATCACAACACCAAGCAGGGCTTAAATCCTTACACGAGGAACTCGGGCTTGGCTCACGACAGGAATGTAACAGAGCATAACTGATTCAGAGTTGATGCAAGAGTCAGAAATTCCAGGTTACAAATAAGTGAGTCTGCATAGAACACCCATTCAAAATACAAACACAGCCTTAAAAGAACAGCTAAAACCTAATTCACACGATAATTCATCAAATTACCTTATCAAAAACTCATGTCCTAAACCTCCAAGACTACAAACCAAGACTTTCTTACACAAATGAAACATTTCATGAAAGCACAATAACTAGATTAATCATGAAAAAATTTCACTTAACACACAAGAACCCTAGACGGGGTGTGGGGAAATAATCTCTAAGAATCAATCTTTTTAAACCACTAAATTGGATTTGTGTGCTGATGTACATTTTTATAACACAAGTCAATCAGCCATTTCTTCTTTTTTTCATGTCAAGAGGCTGATGACCACGATCAATTGTGAAGCTAAATTAGAACTGAAGAATTACCGATTGAATTTTCAAAAACATTTCCGGTGCACGATGGAAGGTCCAGTTTCATCGTAATCCGCCTTGGTCATATGCTGATTTTGAGGGAACACAACTTTCGCAAGTATGGCGCCTCCCACCCATGCTGAATACGCTGTCAAGTTCTCTGGCATATATTCTGGAGCCTGTATGTAATAAAATAAGGGATTAAAACAAAAGGCACTTTTATTAGCAGTGATGAAGCAAATGACAGAACTGATCATATAAATCCAAAAGCTGCGAGGCAAGAAGTTCCGGTGATTGCTTAGCCTCCTAGATAGGCTGCATTGCTCTTTGAAGTTGCTTCATTTTGAAACTTGCTAGACATGAGCAATAGCAGTGGTCATTTCGATTTAATATAATTGATTTTTGACAATTTTAGATTATCTGGTTTGTGATGATAGTCAAATACCGACAATCTTAAGTTTTCTTTGGGTTATCACCCCAAATCACCAATCCCTTGCCCTTTCTACTAATCGTGCAACTTTTGTTTTACCCCTTAAACCTACTAGTTTTCCTTAATCTTAATTCGTCACACAATCAACCTCAGGCAGCATTGCTTTCAAGTTTCCTAGTGCACAATACATCATTTTGGTACTACAGCATGTAGGAACATGAAAAATCTACTGGACAATAAAGTTTACAACCATCTAGAATGGAGACTCGTTAGATTGGAAAACATACAAATATCTAATCTTGTGAAAGGAGTTGTAAAGGCAAACAATTAGATGATGAAATTAAAAACCTTTACTAGAGAAGGGCGAATAGCTGATGAGCAAAGGCTTGCTTCTTTCTGGAACCTATCTTCAAAACCTGCAAGCGGCAACATATAAGATGGAGTCAGCAGCCAGCCACAGTACATTCCCAATCAGGTATGCAATCAACAAAGCACATTCGTCATTTGTGAATTCTAACCCTAAGATAGGCAGCATATAAGTTGTTGACAAGGAGAACAACAACTTTGCGGCAAAGACAAATGGGCCTAAAATTTTTTGATTGATTGATGACTTCCAAGAATTCTTCAAAAATGTATCATGTTTACTAACTAACTGGTCAACTGCCTATATAAAATGCATTAGTTTTTTCCTATACACACAGGCAGAGCAATGTTGGTGTATCTCGGCTCTAGTAAACACACAAAATAAAACTCACCAGTCATAGAAACAGTGCCACCACAAAGTACAGTATTTTCCAGCAGTTGACGGTGATTCTCAGATGACACGGTTGAGATACTACGAACAAGTTGTTCAACTATTCCATGGGCCTCTAAACCCAAAATAGATGGCTGGAATAGAGCCTCGCCAACAGTATACCTTTCTCTTCCAATGGTGATCACCTGAAAACAGAATGGCAAAGATTTTCATTCGGAAATCTAAACTCACCAGAAGTTACAAAAAACAGAATTATAAAGAAGAAAAAAGATATCATGAAGCTCAAGGGTCTCTTTGAAAAAGAACTATGCACATGTAAGTTAAGGATAGCATGCACAAACTGCAGGTAGACCTTTCTTGAGAATATAAATACATGCAACTGCCATGACTCACAAACCGATCTACTATATAGGATAGCATTAAACTTATGTGCAGATCTGTGTCTGAATATATCAAGGAACAGATCATTCCAGAGCACTCGTCATTGTCATCGTTTCTATCTACGACTCCACATCCTCCCTCCTTCTCTCTCATACACACACATTGATATATGTGCAGAAACATGCACAGTTTGATGAATTACCCCATTTAACTCATTTAATTTTGATGAGTTTTAATTGATTTTTAGGTTCACAAAAATTCTAAGGTTTCTCGGATTTCATCATGTCTTTGATATCTTTTGTAATTCCCCCTTCAGTTTGCTTGTATCCTAAGAGAAAATATACACATAAACAAGAGTTGCTCAGAAATGCCTGAAATAATAACTGAATTAGTGGCAAAAAAAAATAATAAACATTACAATTTACAAATAACATTCATTCACTTTGGTTTGCATTATCAACTATGTGCATATTCAACCAGCAGAGCCTTAGGTAGAATAAAAACCATGTCCTACAAATGTACCAGTAAGGAATGAATAGTGATTTAGCTCAGTTGAGGGCAGTAAGGACAAGGAAAAAGCCAAAAGAAAGAAAGTAGAATTTATGCAATGACAGGAAGCCTAAACTAAAGAAGCTATGTACCTAGATAAAGCACAATGAAAATTAATGAAATTCAAACCCCAAATAATTTAGTTTATTATCTATTTTAAAAATTAAAGTACAAACCTGTCCATCAGGTAGAGTATGCTGCTCTTCATGACATGACTGTTGAGTCTTCTTATAAGCAACATCATCTTCAGCACAACATGAGTACAGCTCTTTTATTTTCTCAACATCTGAGGTATTGAACTTCACCAGTGGATTGGATTTACCAAGCTCCTGAGCAAGCAACTTCGTCAAGTCAATGCCACCAATTTCAAATCTTCTCGAAGCAATGTGCTGAACTGCACCTTCAATTACTGGCGCGATATCTGGTAAAGTGCCCAACAGTATCACATAGTACATACTATCAGTTCAGTCAAGCTGCAAACAGTTGTACATCCAAAAGAGAGAGAAAATGGTAATGAAGAAAATGAATTTTGTTAAACATGTTAAATAACTTGATTTTATACCAAATAAATACTTTCAACCATTAGAGATGCAAACAAACCGAGATGGTCATAAATTGGTTGGGGTAATGTAAGACTCATAAAAAGCACATTCAAGTTTATCCGTAAAGAGTGAAGCAAGCTCAGGAATGTATTCAAAACTCATTCACATTAAATGACCAGTGCTTGTAGGCTATTTCTAGCTTAGCCTGGGACAGATCATTAACTAAGGTGGTACATAGTTGGGATGTAAAATTCAAATAGTTTTTAGGTATTTGCATACTTGCAAATATATATATATATATATGGGATAAGACAACTGATACGGTTGGGCTATGGACACCATTGTACCAGGAAAAAAAAAATCCAAAGTCCATCTTCTCAGACAAACCTATGTATGCTTAGCATCACAGTCAAGAAATGTAAAACGAATAACTAGAAAATAGCAGAGTAAAATGCCACCATCAACAAGGTTGATTGAACATACAGAAATGTTCACTAACATGTCAAACTTAATGAACTAAAAGGCAATAATACTAGTTCACTACACAACATCTGCATACCTATCTTCCCATGACCAATATCAACGGTGCAGCCAGAGATACGCCCTACAGCATAAAGTGATAATACTGCTTGCTCTGACGCATAAAAGCCCGAGATGTTAAAAGTTTCAAACATCAATTGCACCAGCTGCTCTCTAACAGCCTGTTCAAGAAATTGTTCTGAGATCATTTCATCCGGTGATACAAAATACAACTGTATTCAATTGCATAGCTTTCAACATTTATATTTCATTGCAGTTAGAACTAAACTAAACCAAAATAACTGTCAGGTATCCACTGGTGTTATAACCTTGAAACACCTCACCAATTAGTGAGGCTCACATGGGCCCTACAGCCACAATTTTCATTAGCCACATGCACTGTGCAAAATTCCAAATCTCCCTCTTCCCATTTCAACTTTGGCCTACTTGTGCATTATTTAGGCCCACATTTCATTATGAATGCACGCATCATGCAATGTGACTCACTAGTTTCACAAATAATTGACGATTATTAAAATAAAATGGAGAAAGTTTTCCACAACCTTGGGAGTTGAAAGTGGATCTGTGAATAAAATTTGCCCCTCATTGCCTATTTCCCATCCTAGTCCAGTATACAGAGTATGGTGCAATAGATCTTCCATGGCGTCCCAATCTCTGATAAACCCTCTTACAACCGGATCAACAGTGTCCTCAGATTGTAAAATGTCAGCCAATGATCCATCTTCAGGCATTTGTTTCATTTGGGTAGGAATTATCTGCCGCATAGTTTAAAAAAGTTAAATGGCCATCCCAACTACGGATATTCATCTTCATATAAAATAGATTTGAAGGAAAAGAATATATATATATATGTACCAGGTAATCACATCCGGCTACAAAAATAATACATTATAAACGCAAAGGGAGCATGACCCAAATGCACATGAAGTATTAAGAGCATCAAAAGTCCTCTATGGAGTGAAATCAAGTTTTTAGTCTTACTTAGTTTGTAGTTATTTAGGTTAGCTAAAAGGTCACATGTTATCTCACCTCTGCCAAGGTATTCCCTGTACCCAGTCAAATATGTGGATTCAACATGAAAGCAAACTACCAGCATCTATTTTTGTAAATGCTAAGGCCTAATTGAATTTTTTTTCATTTTTTTTTTTTTCAGCTGTAACTCTTGTTGTAGTTGACCCTGTTGTTGAGCTTACATGCTTGCTCTTGGATGGCTGGCTCCCATCTCTCCTAGATGGTCTCCAACCTTGCTATTTAGCCTGGGGTATGCCACTTGATCTTTATATTTATTCTCTTACTTCTAAAAAAACAAAAAAAACAAAATCGCTGCACAGCTCTAAGTAGGAAACACACTACTTGGCATGGTACCATTTTTTTATAACCATGCTTAAAAATACTAAAAACACATATAACTCCCAGCCATATGGTACCATCAACACAACCCCCAATTCATAAATATAGATAAGCCATACCCATTTTGATAGTAATATTAGTAAGGGGAGAGGGGAAGAACCTCAAAATACAGTAAAAATTCCCTTAACTAATCTGGCAAAATAAACTGTGATGTCATAATCAAGCTGCAATATATTCAACTGAGTTTGTGCGTCCAAATAGATTAATTGCACGAAATTGAGAGAAATTCATAGCTAACTGACTCTTTGTGTTGTCAGCACAATTTCGAACAATTTCGCATTTGTGCCAATGGATTGAAAGACAGGACCTGGTTGTGCCATGGAAAGTAGAAGGTCATCCAAACAACAAAACAAACGAACAAACAATAGGAAAGATAATGGAAAACTCAGCTAAAAAATAATTATTATTATTAGACTCACTCAACTGGAGTTCTTAACTCTTTTTCTGTTTCTCTGTTAGCTTAATTTTTTTGTGGTTGTATTGCTTAAAGCAACCATAAAAAAATTCATCAATTTTCTTGAAGTTTCTTGGCAACCAAACAGAGGGAAAAGATAATGGGGGAGGGGAGAATACACAAAATTATGAATTTAGTGAAGGGTTTTCGGTTACCATGGAAGGAGCCTGATCTGGAACTGCGAAACCAGCTTTGAGGAGTTTAGAACCAGCATCAATCACCACAGCCTCCATTGTCCAAAAGAACAGAAAACCCTAGTTTTCAATGTACACTTGACCCAGCTCTGACGTAGTCAGATGGGGAGAGAGAGAGAGACTGTTGTGTGCGTTTCAACTTTCAAGTTCCTCAAAACCTTCCTCGCGCATTTCAGATGCCGAGACCCCTGTGCTCGCAGGCTTAACAGTCCGTTTGGAAGGAGGGTTTGGTGACAAAAGAAGAGAAAAGAAAATAAGCGGTGAGCACTTTATTTATTTTGATGGTTAAAGAGCATATCTAATGTTTAATTTATGGGCAAATCACAAACACCCATTGAGATTTTGTGAAAATATATATTCTTCTTAATGTTTGAGAAATTATATTTTGTGCTTGAAGTTTATATTTTTATAATAAATTGTCTCTTGAGATTTTTATTTTCATACAGATTCTTTCCTAATTTGTTATGTAAATTTAACCTTAAAAGGACAATTTGTAATTTCTCAAATCTCATAGGAGAATCTGCATTATCACCAAACCTCGAGGGAGGTGTTTGTAATTTGCCCTTAATTTATTTATTTTTTATTAAATTAGTAAAAGTTCGGTAGTATAAATTTTATTTAGGGGAATTTATTTTAAGATCCCTAATAATAGTAATTTAGAGGATAAAAAATATCAAAAAAAGAGTGATGCATCAGGTCCCTGAACAATATCGCTCGTATTTTTAATTATTTCGTAGACCAAAATACCCTTCACAAAATCAACACAGAAACGAAACTGATTTCGATGACTGAGTTTCATTCCAAGCATCTAACCATCTTCACGAGCAAGAGAACAGCAAAATTAGGGTTTCAATATCATATTCATCATTGACATCAGAGCTTCATTATCTTCTGCAAAAAATCATTCTCATTCCTTCCTCACAAATTTCCCTGACCTCGTTTTCACTGTTCATCGTCAGCTCAGTTCATCTTCGTCACATCGCATCTTCATCTCAGGGCATATCAGTTCGTAATTAAAGTTCCATCCTAACTCTAGTAAGTTTTTCTACAATCCAACTAGATTTTATCTGGAAACACAGTTAATTGCATTTTATATTAACCTTCCATAAATTAGGGTTTCAATTTCATAATAAAAAACTACATAAATTTGAAAAAAGTTATTTTTCTGCGTTTTGAACTTATTCTTGAACATGTTTGTGTGATTTTATCTGTAAATTTCTCTGGCATTTGAATTTCTCTAGTTTTTGCTTGACGTATGTTTCTTCTTTGAATTTTCTCTATCATATTTATTTTGAAAAAATTTATTTCTCTGTGTTTTGATATTCTTGAACATGTTTTTGTGATTTTGTCTTTAAATTTCTCTGCTTTGTAAATTTCTCTGGAATATACATTTTTCTCTGGAATGTCTATTACTCTCTTGTCTGTGTCTAAATTTCTTTGGTATTTATAATTTTTTCTGGCCACATCACTTTTCTCGCTTGTGTGTCTCTATTATGTTTAATTTTCTCTAGTTGTGTATGTAAATTGACTTGAAATTTCTCTGGCCACATCACTTTTCTCTGGCATTTTAATTTTATGGACTTGAAATTTTCTCTAGAATGGAAATTTTCTCAAGAATGTGTAATTTTCTCTGGTATGTTTATTTTGTTCAATTCTTGATTTCAACGTTGTGTAATTTTCAGTGGCATATTTATGTTGCTTTGTTTATTTATCTTGCTAATTGTGGAATGAAAATTTTCTTTGGCTTGCCATGTTTACTTTTCTCTGTCATTCATTTTCTGTACTTGCTAGATATATGTTTCTTTTTTGAATTTTCTCTGGCTATATCTTACTTTTATATGCAATTTTAACAATTATTGAAAATTTATCTGCCATGTTTATGTTGCTTTGTTGATTTTCTCTAGGAATGGAAATTTTCTGTGGCTAAATGTATTCCACAAGAAAACAATTAGTACTTTGACATTTAATTTTTAGTGTCTAATTTTCTCAGACATTTATAATTTTCCCTGGCCACCTTAGTTTTCTCCCTTATGTGTAATTTTCTCTAACATGTCCAATTTTCTCTAGCATATTCAATTTTCTCTGGAATTTAATGTTGACATCTTTATGTTTTCACTATTGTTTAGAAATGGCAAAATATAAAAGCAGCAAAACACTGGAAACACCAAGCAAGAAACAGAAACTCTCTCAGTCTTCTTATGATCTAAGATCAAAAACCAGCAAAACACCACAAACTCCTTGCCAAAACACACAAGTCCAAGGTGATGATGCAACTAGCATCAAGATGAGTACCCCAACTTCAAAAGACTAAAGCTCAAGGGGGGGAAAAACCTATTAAACTCCAAAAAGAAAAAGCTCATTACAGCATTCAATACTGATCCAACCTCTTATCTGTTGTCTCCTTTTTTCAAACACTTAAATTCAATTCAAATCAACTTGTAGAGCTTCAAAATACCTCATTCTGGTATTTGATCAAAGCTCTAACCACTAGAAGGATGGATCCAAGGAAATCTGGAAAATTTAATGATGATGTAGTTGCAATAATCCAATGTTACAATGAAAAAATAAAAGTATTCACAGTTGGTAAAAAGAACTTAACATTTACAACCAATGACATGACCTTGATTTTTGGTTTGCAAGGAGATAAAGGAGCCATGTCATTAAGATACTCTAAAAAGCCAAAATCTACATTCCTAAGGAGAAGATTCCCAAAGGACACAAGGCTCACTGGTCATGTTCTTAAAAATGCATTGGTCAAAGCAATGAAAGGCAAGCAACCAACTGACTACAAAGATGTAGCAATTATTGTTACATTGTACTTGTGTCTCACCCTATTTTTTGCAACAAGTGGGAATTCAATAAGGTGGGTTTTTATAAAGTATGTGGAACCTCTTGAATCAATGAAACAGTATAATTGGCCAAAAGCAATCACATAAACATTGATTGATTCTATCATAGCATTGCACAAAACTCCAGAAAAAAGTTACGGGGTGTGTCATTGCATTGCTAGTAAGTATAATTTTCATTTAAATTTGCAGTTATCATACTTACAAATTTGTGTGTTTAGCAAAATTTAATTACTTTAATTCCCATCACAGTATTGGCTATGTAAACATGCAAATATCATTGACTCGGAAGACAGTAACACAACTAACTTCCCAAGATGTGCCAAGTGGAACCTGCAAAGCTTGACAAAACAGCTGCAGAAGACACCAGTCTACTCTCTTGCACCTTGACAGGTTAGATTTCTATCACCACTGAAATCTCAGTGAAATTCCAAAATTTCTTTGACCACTGGTTTGTTTCCCTCCTTGTGCTTTGATTGATTGAAATCAATTTTCTCTGAACTATTAATTTATGTTTCTTCTTTGATTACCACTGGTTTATTTCTGCCATTGTAATTAATTTTCTCTGCAATCCAAATTTCTCTGACCACAATTGTAACACATTAACTTATATGCCCTGATTGATTTTCTCTAATAGCTGAATTATGTTGGTTGTTTCATAATTTTCTCTGGTTCATAAAATTGTTTCTCATTGTGTGTAATTTTCTCTGGCTCATAACTTATGTGCCTTGCTTCTTTTATTAACACTGTTTATTTCTACCCTTCTAATGAATTTTCTCTGGAATCCAAATTTCTTTGACACAATTATAGTAAAACATTAACTTATATGCCTTGATTGATTTTCTCTGATATCTAAATTATGTTGCTTATTTCATAATTTTCTCTGCCTCATAAAATTAACTCATTGTCTGTAATTTTCTCTGGCCTATACAATTTTCTCTGAAGTTTGTTTCCTATTAGTATCATTTAAATGAATTTTATTTTCCTTATTTGAATTTTTTCTCTCAGTGAATTTTGTAACATTTCTCTAATAAAAGAGCCTCCTGTTACAGATAGAAAACAATGAGCTAGTTAAAAACCCATCAGAGGAGTTTTGTCCTAGTAAAAAGAAGAAGAAAGAATCAAAAGGGCAATTGTCAAATTCAAGGAGACATTAGAAGATTCATTTGAAGAACCAAGGCATGAAGAAGGAGAAGGCAACATAGAAGAACACGAAGCCAGCAATGGACAAGAAGATCAAGCAAGCAGTGAAAAAGCGGAAGCCAAAGAAAAAAGTGAAGAAATAGAAGTAAAAGACAAAAAAGAAAATGAACAGAAAGAAGAAGACATTGAAGAAGAAGATGAAGGCACTCAATCTAAACAGCAAGTAGAAAACAATAAGGAAAGTGATGAAGAAGAACATAATGAGCTGATGGACCAACATCATGATAGCATTTGTGGCTCAACAATGCATCAGCCTCAAGAATTTGAGGAATCAAAGGATGCCCAAATTGCTAATCTACATCAAAAACTAAAGGCACTTTCTAAATCTAAAATAGAAGAAGAGAGAAATTGAAATAAATTACTTGCAGAAAAGGATATTGCAATAAGAACCTTGACATCACTTAACTCAAAACTTCAAGAAAGAGACAGCACAATCCAAATGAAACTAAGAATGTTAGAGGTTCAAAAAGAAGATGATACAAAAATAATTCAACAGTTGAGGTATCCAATTTTAGAGTTTGAAACTAAAAATGCTAAATTGCCTGAACAAATTCAAGAACTATCCATCCAACTAGCAACACAACCTTACCGAACACCAACACAAGTTCAACCACAAGGTCAGTGAAAATCTTGAGCCACAAAAAGTTATGTCTTTGTGTCAACATAACTCAGAGAAATTTCTATTTATTATAATTTTCTTTGGAAGTTAAATTTCTCTGACCACATTAGTTTCTGCTACTTATTTCTATTGATTTCTACTGCTTATTTGATTTTCTCTATCTATTTGCTTATTTGATTTTTGGGGCTTGTTTGATTTTCACTGTGTATAGTTGGAATAGAAGTGAAACAACAATCAACAACCCAGCAAGAACAAGTGGCACACAAAGAACAATCAAAACAAAAGACAAAAGTCTATGGTAACTAAAAAATATTGAATCAAATAAATTTACATATTGAAATATCATCTCTTACTTTAGAGAAATTTCACTTTTATTGATATTTTCACTGTCTACAGTGAAAAAAGATCCAACATTAATGATAAAGAATTTAAAGGCAAAAGAAAGGAAAGAAAAGCAGCAAGATCCAGAATTTCAATATCCCAAAGTTGCAAAGGTGACTAGAGCTTCAAAGTAAGCTGCAAAGCAAATAGAGCAAACCACCAAAGACAAAGAAGTACTTGATGCTAATGCGTACGTCTTGCCTCCACCAACAA